AGTAAGATCAGCCGGTGTGAAAGAGAACCTTTCAGTCTGCCTGTGGTAGACCCCAGCTGCTCCACTTGTTTTGTGCTGCTGGAATCGTGCACAAACAAAAACAGTATTAAAATGTTTTATAACATGCTGAACATGACCACGTTTTTGATTCTGTGTAGATTTAACAAGAAATGTTGTTAGAAAAGCCAGACCTGTTTTTCTGTCTGTCAGATGTTCAGCATATCAAACGACGGGACATTGTTCTGAAGCGGGAGCTTGGAGAGGGAGCCTTTGGGAAAGTCTTCCTGGCAGAATGTTACAACCTGAGTCCTACCAAAGACAAGATGCTGGTAGCTGTCAAGGTAAGACTAGTATTTTTATTCATTCATTAAAACAAAAAACGGTTTTCATTCCAGAGGCAATAAAAACAAAATTGCCTCTGGCATGAAAAACTGAAGCAACACTGCCAATCTTCCCTCACAGACTCCCCACAGCAGGCATTTGTACACCAAAACCATGCAGAAGTACTGGAGTGCAAAATCATTATCCATGACTTACACAGAGTTGTACTTTTCCTATGGCCTTATGTTAACAACCTTAAAATGATGAAGCCTGCTTAGATGTGTCAGGTGCACACTCAGGTCCGCACCCTGCTCTCAACTGCGTCGGAAGAAGTTGCTGCTCCTGAAGCTACAACATCAAAAGCTGAAGCGAACAGCACATTCACACCACCATCATCCAAACAGACCAACACAAGTTATTTTGCAGAGTGGGAGAATGCAGTGGATGAGCCAGAAGGTGATGGTGATTAAATAATCACAAACAAAAGCAGTAAAACTATTCAGAGTTAATTTGTCGAGTCGTGTTGGGCTCAGACACAACGCCGATTAGCTTGGGCTGGGTCGGGTCGGGTTTTATAGCCCCGAACAAAACTCTACTCTGAATGGCTCAAGAAAAACTAATTTAAGATTTTAAAGGGGCCTAATCTAATTCCTGACCTAAAACCAATTGAGATGCTGTGGCATGACCTTAAAAAGGGTTTATGCTCAAAACCCTCAAATGTGGCTGAATTACAATAATTCTGCAAAGACGAGTGAGCCAGGAATATTGTTTTACTGTGTGCAGACTCTAAAGGACCCCACACAGGCAGCCAGGAAGGATTTCCAGCACGAGGCAGAGTTACTGACCAACCTTCAGCACGAGCATATAGTCAAGTTCTATGGAGTGTGTGTGGATGGAGACCCTCTCATCATGGTCTTTGAGTACATGAAACATGGAGATCTGAACAAGTTTCTCAGGTGGGTCTAATTCCTGTTATCTACTGAAACAATACATGTAAAAGTAAATCAAGTGAAGTTTAATCCTGCACATGTGGAGGGACAACAGGACATGACAAAGAACAAATAAATATATATTTTTAATCTTTGAAGTTAATGTATTGTTCACTCACTGGTTATGCAACTAGCTAATTAGAGTGTACCTCAGCTATCTAATGGTTTTAAAAATGTCAAAGCTGTGTGTTATGGATCTAGCAGCAGAAGAGAAGTGGAATCTCATTTTACAAATGAATAGATTTCATCATATTTACCTCAATGCGTATGTGATCTGAGCAGAATTAAAGATTAAAATGTGACAATTTAAAATGAAAAAAATCATTATTTGTGGAATTTGTTAGCAGATATTAGCTTGTGTCGCACATGTTGTTATACAGGATTCAAAGATATTTGTGATAACGTCAACACGAACATCAAATGTTCAAGCAGATGGGACGAAACCAGTGTTTACTGGTGATCCTGGTGATAGCATAAATAGAACAGTAAAACAATAAGTAGTACAAGAAAAAAATCTAATTGCACAAACACAAGCAGTGACAACTAGCAACAGAAAGTGTGCAAAAATACAACAGTAGCAGCAGGTGTAGTCTAACAGGGGTGCAGGGAGCGGGAAGGCTACAGGGTAGAAGCTGTTCCCCAGTCTGGGTTCTGCTCCTGATGCCGCACAGCCTTCTGCCTCATGGCAATGGGGTGAACAAGGTACAGTATGTGCAGGATGATTGTTGTCTCTCATGATGCAGGTAGATCTTTTTCAGCATCTGGATGTGTATATGTCCTCGTTGCGGATGAGTGGGGCTCCCACAATCCTCTGTGCAGCTTATACAGTTTCTTAGGGTAGCGCCGTGCACGACTGCTGGACAGGGGCACGTATTCTTGAACAGGTTGTTCCAAACTATAATTTCCCTTCATGGGATCAATTAAGAATTGTTTGTTTGTTTGTTCGTTCGTTCATTTGTTCGTAAAGTATTGTTCGTTCATTCATTCGTTCGGTCATAAAGTATCGTTCGTAAGGTATCATTCGTAAAATTTCGTTCGTTCGTAAGGTATCGTTTGTTCATAAAGTATTGTTTGTTCGTATCATTCATTCGTATCGTTCGTTCGTTCATATCATTCGTAAAGTATCGTTTGTAAAGTATTGTTCTTAAAGTATCATTTGTAAAGTATCATTTGTTCGTTCGTTCGTAAGGTATCGTTTGTTCGTAAAGTATCGTTAGTTCGTAAAGTATAGTTCGTACTTAAAGTATCGTTCGTACATAAAGTATCGTTCATTCGTAAAGTATTGTTGGTTTGTAAATAGTGTTCGTAAAGTATCGTTCGTAAAGTATTGTTTGTAAATTATCGTTTTTAAAGTGTCATTCGTTCATTTGTTCATGAAGTATTGTTCATTTGTAAAGTATCGTTTGTTCATGAAGTACCATTCCTACGTAAATTATTGTTCGTTCGTAAAGTATCATTCGTTCATAAAGTATCGTTCGTAACGTATCGTTTGTAAAGTGTCGTTCGATTGTTTGTTCATAAAATATCGTTCGTTCATTCGTATCATTCGTTCATATCATTCGTAAAGTATCATACATAAAGTTTTGTTCGTATAGTATCATTCGTAAAGTATTGTTTGGAAAGCATCATTTGGAAAGTATCGTTTGATCAGTCATTCATTCGTTCGTAAAGTATCGTTCGTTCATAAAGTATCGTTCATTTGTAAAGTATCATTCATTCATAAAGTATCGTTCGTAAAGTATTGTTCATCCGTAAAGTATTGTTCGTTCGTAAAGTATTGTTCTTTCGCAAAGTATCGTTCATTCGTAAAGTATTGTTCGTTCATAAAGTATTGTTTGTTCGTAAAGCATCGTTCATAAAGTATTGTTCATTCATAAAGTATCGTTCGTTCATAAAGTATCGTTTGTACGTAAAGTATCGTTCGTACGTAAAGTATCATTTGTTTGTAAAGTATCGTTTGTTCGTAAAGTATCATTCGTTCGTAAAATATCATTTGTTCGTAAAGTATTGTTCGTTTGTTCGTTCTTTTGTTCGTTCGTTCATTCGTTCATTCATTTCTACCATTCTGTATAGAGACTTTTCTGCTACAGAGCAGCTACAATGCCACACAGTGATGCTCTCAACTGCATACCTGTAGAAGGAGGTCAGGACTGAACCTGTCAGTCCTGCTCGCTTCAGCCATCTAAGGAAGGTTGAAATGCTGGTGAGCTTTCCAGATCAGCCTCCTCTCTCAAACCAATATTCCTCTCTATCAAGGATGAGAACATCTTTGTCCATGAATCCCAATGTATAACCGATCACAGTCCTCCTGGCACTTAACAGCATACACAGCATTACTCTGTTTGTGCTGGGGGTCCAGATCTTTTGGGGTGAACCGGTATTTGCCGTAATGTGTTTTGGGGTTTGAAAGCCACTGGGACATCATGTTTAGAGAATAAACGTCAGTTTCTCTGAAACTCTCGCAATATACGGAATGATGACTGGTCTGGGTTTGGGGTCTTCCTTTTCTAAGATCTGAGCTCAGATGAAGGAAAAGATACAATTTTTTTTAAAGTTTCTCAAATGAGAACATAGTATTTTTACCATTGTCAATGTGTTAGAAATACGTGTTCTAATATGGTATGTCCGAATAAACAGGATTCAGCTGGATTTCTTGTTAAAAACTTTATTTCAGTCCTCTGACTCCAATCAGGTTCAATCAGCTCTCAGCAGCACAGGCCTCAGCGTACAACCTTGGGCCAAACCAAAACAAACACGGGAGCTCTGCTCTCAGCAGACACTCTGCAAAACACTGACAACTTCTTTCTACTATAATAATGAATTGAGCTTATAATGTTCATCCCTTCCTGGTTAAACCCCAGAGGTGTTACCTTTTACGTCAGACGTCAGAACGTCACTCAGTTTTGTTTAGGCTAAGAGAAAGAACATGAGAACACACCAACTCTTTGTCAGCTTCAACCTTACAGACTGAAATGATCAGAAAGTATAAAATACAAAACTGAATCTAATAATTAATAATAAATTAATCAGTTACAAAATTTCTTCAAATGTATGAAAAATGAACATAGCCACTACAATGTCCTCGTTTGGATCACACACCTGAAGAGTCGCTAACTTTTAGCAATTGAAACAAACCTGTATTTTTGTGAGATGTCCTATTTTTTGTGAGATATCATAAAGGAAGATGTAACAACTTTAAAAGTTAATGAAGATAAATGTGTTCCTCTACAACAGAGCTCATGGACCTGATGCAATGATCCTGGTTGATGGGCAGCCTCTGCAGACCAATGGAGAGCTGGGCCTGTCTCAGATGCTTCACATAGCAAGTCAAATAGCTGCTGGGATGATCTATCTGGCGTCTCAACACTTCGTCCACCGTGACCTGGCAACCAGAAACTGCTTGGTGGGGAATGGCTTTCTGGTGAAGATTGGGGATTTCGGCATGTCCAGAGACATTTACAGCACAGATTATTACAGGGTAAGACTAGAAAACATAACCGCTGCTTTTTTCATTTGGACCCATAGCAACAGCTCCTCTAAAGTCTAACATCTTGCATATGTTGCAAGCGTTCAGTTCCGATAATTTCATGAGAAAAATCCGAAATTACTTTAAGTAAACTTTACTTTTACATCTGGGTTACAAGTTATTACTGCCGACTGCTAAATGTGACCATTTTTTTGTCACTGAGTGTGCTTATTTGTATTGTTGGACAGTTTTTAATGAAAATCTCAACATATTTGCTAAATATATACATTAAAGACATGTATTACTGAACTAAAGATCTGCACATTCTCCATCTGAAGCTGAACAGTCGACAAGCGACCATGTGATTGTTCGACATTCATTTTCGCACACCATTTTAGATCCTCAGCATACCTGAAGACTTGATGTTTACCCAGATATGACTTGGAGGACATATAGGTTCTGAATAACTCCATGAACAGGCTTGTCATGTCAGGACACTGTATAAAGTTTTAACAAGTCTAAATCATGAACCAGTCCAATTACAATCAATTCAATTCAGTTACATACATAACAGTCAAATTCAGTATTTTACAAAACAACAATTAGTAAACAGTTATCATTAAAGTAATCCAAAACCTGTCACTTTGGTTGATCAGAGTAGCTTTATGTACACATTTTTCATGTTCATACATCAGACCTTTTCTACTTGTGTGTGTTCATTCAGGTGGGAGGTCACACCATGCTGCCTATTCGCTGGATGCCTCCAGAGAGTATTATGTACAGGAAGTTCACCACAGAGAGTGATGTGTGGAGTTTTGGAGTCATTCTGTGGGAGATATTCACTTATGGCAAACAGCCGTGGTTTCAGCTTGCAAATAATGAGGTAAAATAACTCACCATTTTAATTTGAACCTCCTTTATCAGTAAAAAAATCTCAGTAGTGGTTTTCTGTAGAACTGTCAGGCTCTGTGATTGTGGAGGAATTTTGACTCATTTTTATTTCTAATATTGCTTCAGTTTATTAAGATGTGTAGGCACCTCAGCATTTCAATCAAATTAAGGCTCTGGACTCTGGACCATTGCAGCTCCTTGATTTTTTTTTTTGACCCGTTCTGTTGTAGATCAGCTGCTATGTTTAGGATTTGGGTTCTGTTGGAGCCAGTTTGATCCAAACTTAGCCGTCAGACAGATGGACCTGGTGTCATTTGGTTGTTGGCCCAAGCACATCCAGCAAGATGGAGTGAATTATGTCCTTGAACGCCTCCCAGCCCAGTCATTCTCTGTATCTAACTAAGCAAACTATAGATAAGCCAACTACTTGTTGAGGGTGTTAACAAGAAAAGAACCGAAGTACTAATGTTTGGATCTTGGATGCATCGACATGGCTTTGTTGAAGTTTGATTGACAAAATATAGTGTTTGTTATGAGGAGGTTGTGTATAATACAGGTCTTGAGATGTAGAATTCCATTGCTGTTGCACTTACTGATGCTATTTCTGCTGATGACTCCTTCCCAAGCCAGATGTTCATCTCCAACTTTAGCGATGAAGTCCTAAAGAATAACCAGTTTGTTTCCTTGGGGTGTGGAGGCAATGAGAGAACCAACTCTTTGTTTTTTGACATCATCTGAATTTGTCATAGTTGGGGCATTTGAACTTATCAATATGGACTGCTTGTTCTGTCCATACACGACACACCTTTTGGGTTGAAATGCTTAAACAGAGGAGCAGCAAAACATCCAACACCTGGAGCAAGGGAGGGCAGAGAGAACACCAGCTTCGGTTGTTATCACCCTTTAAATGGATGTTATTAGCCGTCATCAGTCCCATACAATGGCTTCAGACTAGCTTCAGACTGTCCCGACTGTGCCGCCTAGTGGGTTCTCCGTGCCGTAGAATGGCTTCAGACTGTCAGCTGGTTAGTATGAGACATAAAGCCACTAAGGTTNGTATAAAGCCACTAAGGTTTTTTATGCAATCTGGTTAATATGAGGCATAAAGTCACTAACGTTAATTTTAGAGAAAATGACATGGGCTACGATAAAGTAGACTGGACTCCGGCGGTAGCAGATTGTTGCATTCCAACACATATGGCACGGATAACTCACTAGGGGGCACAGTCGGAACAGTCTGAAGCCATTCTATGGGACTGATAACCGCTAATAACATCCATTTATTGGACTGATAACATCCCAACCGGCTGGAGTGAACCAGAAGCCGTGCTAAGTTAATACTAGCTAGTGGACCCAAAGGTGCTTCAAGCATGGCATATAGAGTGTTTGTGTACCAATGTAGTATGTTAAACTGTGTGAAACGGATTAATTCAGTAAATCAAAAGATTTGAGCAAACAGCTTAGTCCAGCTACCAGCAGAGCAAAGGGGAAGTGACGCAGTATTTCAGCACATCAACATCGTTTTTGGTTTTTAGCTTTTGTACTCATTGCACTGCAATTTTCACCATATGCATTCAGAAAAATAATTGAGTTTGTATTTTTAATGTTCTCAGTACTTGTTTGAATAAAACACTACATAGAACTGACATTCAGCGGGTAAAATAAATATTGAACACGTCACCATTTTTCTCAGTAAATATATTACTAGAGGTGCTAATGACATGAAATTTTCACCAGATGTCGGTAACAACCCAAGTGATCCATGGCATGGGGAAAAAAGTATTGAACACATGAAGAAAGGGAGGTGTAAAAAGGCATGGAAAGCCAAGACACCAGCTGAAC